CTTCATGGAACTCTGAGAACAGAGGACGGGATTCTGATCAAGTCAATCCATAGGAAATGAAAAGGAATAGTAACACAAATAAAATGAGGAAAGTATAAGAGGTAATTTGAAAAGCTTTGGTAAAACAGTCTGCTCATATTTCAGCAACTATGCATTTTTAAGGGGCAATTTATTCAGGATACTGTTTTAGTGTAACAATAATGATCAATGCTTTTGCAGATTTCCTTTGAACTAATAACAACAAAACATATTTGCATTCTCTAATAAAATAAAAAGTAAATTTTAAAGAAATGATATTTTTATATTACTTTTTGTGTAATAAGCGGTGAATGATTCTCCTCTCTTCATCTCACCAGTTGAAATATGGAGTGCCTCTAGTAAAGTCAAGGGAGATGCACTAGATGCACAAGTGATGCAGATTTCAGGAGAATTAGGCCCAAAATACTGTTACTTCTATTAAAAGCCAAAATCATTCTCTCACCTCCACTTCCCAAACAGGAAAACTGTCTAGAATATTTCACAGTCGCACGACGACATAAATACCCAGTCTCTATAATTATTTTCATCCCCTCTGAACACAAGCCAGACAAACGGAACACATACCTATTTGAAAATATTCTTGTAAACAAAAGATACTCTTTTTTTTGATATCCCAAATCCCTTCTGTTCACTTACTCTGGACCACTGAAGCGAATGATGATGTATGCATAAGGTTTTCAGAAACCTAAAATATTGCCTATACAAAGGAGTACAATATCTGCAGAATAATCTATACGGGAAACGCAGCCAATACTGTTTGAAACAGTAAACTCATTACAGGTTAACATTAGAAGAAAACAAAGGAGTCCATTATTGCCAAGAATAGGTGGGAATGTTAGAAATCACTGAAGTGTCGCAGTGGTTATAGAACCGCTATGCAAAGTGAGCAACCACCCACAGTACTGTACCTGCTGGCACTGCGAGAGCACTGCCACTGTGTGCTATGGCATGTCTTCAGTGGAAGGAATATATTACTTGATACACGTTGCAATTCCACAAAGAATTCTGTGTATCATCTCTGATGCCTTATTTTCACTGCTTTGTATTATTAAATTATAAAAAAGAAAATGTGGGTTCTCTAAATGTACTTGACCAATATATCTGACATAATATGTTTACACAGAATGATAAAATACATAGCTATTTTCCAGTCTGCCCTATTCAGTCTCTTTATTTGCAGGAAATAAATCAAAACAGATACAAAGATAGATGAATGTACTCTGTAAATAGCACTGTGAACTTTTGCAAAATTTATGTTCTTTCTATACGTATGATAAAAGAATGCCAAGCATAAAAGTCCATCAAAAAGCAAATTTTTTTTTTTTTCTTTCCGTTGGGAAGAATGCTAGTATTTTATATCAGGTATAAATGCAAGAAGTCAAATGAACTTTGCTTTTGTTTTTTGTGACAAGAGGTATTTCTGAAAACAAGTTGCATCAGTGCGGAATCAGATAGGTCTAACAGCAGCTTCCAGAACTAATGCCAGGATCTGGGCATGTGTAACAGGACATAGGCAGGTGCATGATGAAGGTTTGCAAACTGTCCACACCAAAAGATCCTATGGGCTGAAACGTGTCTGTCGGTCACCAGCTCAACAGTCTTATGTGAAAAAAAGTTAAGACTGCTTCTGTGCTTTGAGGAATCAGCTAGGACATCTTCTTGAAGAAAATAATCTTGATCAGTGCCTACTAATTAGTAGCTGTTAATGAATGTATTTTTCTTTGTTGAAAGATCAGTCAACAGGTGCCAATAGAGAGGTTCTCTGAAAAGGACTTTAAGAATAGGTTAAAAATATGTGAGGAATGACATATATATACCATATATATGGTACATATGATCCCTTGAGGAACCTTACAGCCTTCTGTTTCTGCCAGTCCACAATACTTTTGACCTACTAAACCTGTTCGGCTTGAATTGATTCCAGGCTTTCTTCAAGACACTATGCTGCTTTGAAAAAATGTAAGTTCTGTACAAATTGATTCATTATACCTTTTGGAAGCACTAGGAAATCAGGTATCTGTAATTTCCAGGAGTTTTACCAGACATTTTCAGTATTATTTTTCTTACTTAAATAAAAAATACCAAATCACTTGCTCTTACTTTCAGATGGCAAGGCATGCCACTATATAAAAAGTTTACAAACAGAAAGTTGCTCTTCCTCTGATGACTCCTCTGAAATCACTGAATTCATGATCCGTACATTTTATGAAACTATCTGCTATGTGACTGTGATACAAAGTGAGACCAAAGACAACAGACTGGGAGGATTTGGTACTGTATCCTGATATATCATTAATGATGCCCATCATTCACAATACCCCTCCCTTCCATCATGCCCTATGCTGATCAATAATGCCTAATCTTAATTAAATTTGCTATATGGACTAGAGCTGAAGAAATTATATTAAATCTTATCAATCTCATGATCTGAGAATACTGAAAGTAAGAGATACTCAAAGCAGAACAGGATTTATTTTCTTAATTTAGCAGGACAGTATTGCAAATTCACTTTGAAGGGAAAAAAAATGATGAAAGATGCATTGAGTTAAAAAAACCAGACTCTGCAAATACATGTAACAGCGATCTGAACAGTTTTTGTACAGCTTTTGTAGAGATCAGTTTAAAAAATAATCAGATGAATATATGCACCTCTTCATGGAAACTTAACATGGAAAAAATTTCCATAGATATTTAGCTTGCTTACTGTTTTTAAGGAAGTTAAGATTATAACCTATATTGCTGTATATGAAAAGCTTTCTTCATATTTTATCCATGGTTTATCAGCAAGCAGACTTTGCAGAGCTGACTGTACAAGGATTCTTTGCATCTTGTGACCAGGGTGCAATAAATCCCGCTGTTATCTCGCAGCAGAGGGAAGGACTGTTGAAGGTAAAGCAGGAATAAACCATGATTCCTCACAATGATGTTTTCGGCAGTATAAAGCCTAAACAAAAAAGTGAGAAGGAACAGTAGCTAATATTTTAGCTGTAGGCTAAATATTAACTGTAGGCCTGTCATTCGGGTAAGAGCTAAAAGCTTTACAGAAATGTTTCCCATACAAAATCAGTTCATCTGGACATGTGAGTAGGAATACTGAATTTCATGCTGTGATTAACATCACATTCGTTTACCTACTTGAAATGATTTTGAGAGGTATGCATTGGATCAGGTCTGCAAGAAGGAGATAAGCCTTACAGCGTTCTGAGATTTTAAAGATGCTGAAAAATTGCAAAAATTGTTTTGGGGTGTCTGAAGAGGATTAGATGGGAATGATGAAAGAGCATAACTCAGGCTTTGCAATCTGATACAAAACTGGCCCACGGAGGTGAAAATAGCAAACAGAGTTATCACCAAGTTGAAAAATTAGTTGACATTAATTTTCAAGAACAGAATAACTGGCACACAGCTAAAAGACTCTTCTAGTTAAAAAAAATAATTAAATGGACATCACTGCAAGAATTCCAATTTTCAGCCTATGTTACCTCTTGTCTCAGAGCCTATGAAATCTTCAGAATCTATATAATTTCCAGTTTTTAAAAATGCACCTTGTTTTGTGAATATTCCTTTCTACACATTTTTCCTAATACATTTGTTGTACAGAAAAAACTGATTACAAATTTTCAGTCATATATTCTTTTCCTGCTTTCAGCAGTACATGAACACAGCTTAACTGGGACAGAATAAAGGTCCACTTATTCAAGAATTATAGTTTTATTAATAAAAATTATTGCTGGGTATTGAAAAAGATTGGAATGAAGCCATGTTGCTTAATTGTAAAATGCCATGCTTATCAACGTTCTCTAAATATGAATAGGAAAACTTGGTTAAAAGAGATGTCTTCCTTTAAATAGAAAATACGCGTGCATAACTTAAAAAATTTTCATGTTAGATAAATATCTGACTAAAGTTTGTCAGATAACGATAATGCTGAATTGCCAATGACACCTAACAGAAATAAAGATCCAAGTTGTAACATGCCGGAAAACAACGCCGTCAGCAAAAATGCGTGATTAAGATATTTTCTGCATCTACTTTTGACAATACTTGAGGGATATTTATTTTAATAATCTAGAATATTTTCCATTCAGAACGTTACGTTTGCTTACACCTATGTATAGGTGTAGACCCATCAACAAACCCAGCCGTCCAAGAGCAGCGGGTACCACGGACAGCTCCAGCTGCAGCACGGCCCCGCGCGTCGCGGCAGCGACAATTCAGGACGGCCGGTGGCTGCTAACGGACCTTTCTGCTTTCAGTTTATAGCAGCACTGGATTGTCATTTCCAAATCTGTCATTGTGGTGGGCATCCTAAACGGTTCATAAATGGAGTTTGCCTACTCCGGGCAGCAGACAGACAGATGTCTGGCTAAACTCGGCTTTCACCTATAAATAGACAAGTTCTCCCACCATAGGAGAATGTGGTTCTTGTGTATTCTTTCAAGCTTACCATTATATGATGGGGAGAGGTAAGGCAAGTGAAAAATTCTGAGTATGTATGGTGTGCTAAACTACTCATCTAATGATGCAATGTTACAATTGTGCTGTAGTAGTTCCGTCTTTTTTAAAAACTTTAATAGTAGCATGTTGAAATCCTTAGAAATTACTCATCCCTTTTATTGAACGCATTTGTTTATAGTGCTAACCTAAGTATGAACGCAGCCATGTTTTCCCAAGTTACACCTGTTGTTTCTAAATCTTCAGTTTTAGACTTTCCTCCACAGTTGCCAAATATTTAAAAAAATAGAAGAAGGGGTAGTCTGTGGTGAAATGTATTGTATTAAAATAAGTGAATTAAGATCCTTGAAATTTCACGCTCAGGTAAGATAATAATTCACCAAATAAAAGACCAGTTGTTTCTAAAAGCAGATTTTGCTCATTGACAGACATAATAACGTATTTTAGGTGCTTTCCAGAGTTATGCTGAAACACTATTGTTGACCCTGTTGTTTCCTGTCCTACAGAGTCGAATGGCAGAAAGTTTGCGTCTCTTTGATTCCATCTGCAACAACAATTGGTTTATCAACACTTCCCTCATCCTTTTTTTGAATAAGAAAGATCTGCTGGCAGAAAAAATCCGACGCATCCCCTTAACGGTCTGCTTTCCTGAATACAAAGGCCAAAACACTTATGAGGAGGCAGCAGTCTACATCCAACGCCAGTTTGAGGACTTGAATCGCAACAAGGAGACCAAGGAGATCTACTCACACTTCACCTGCGCCACTGATACCAGTAACATCCAATTTGTCTTTGATGCAGTGACAGATGTCATCATTCAGAACAATCTCAAGTATATTGGCCTCTGCTAAGAATCCTTGGGCTTAATCTGTTTTCCTGAAGGGATGAAAAAGGGGCTAACCACTTCCACTTCTAGTGGAAAAAAATGGGGCAATGCTTAGTAGCCCAAGGAGAGAAAGGGAAATCCGATGTATGTACGCAGTTCCTCTTGTGCCCCCTTAACCCACTACATCATTTTTCACAAATATATGTTCTGGAGAGTGAAAACTTCCTCTCCAAAAAAACCACACCCCCCAGTGAAAAAAACCCCACAACTCAAAAACCCCAAACAAAAACAAAAAAAGAGATTGAGGCCTAACTCTGTGGAGATGTTTTCACCACAGTCACTGCACTTTTATTCCATTTGTTTCATTCCATTTCCTACAGTGGGAGTGTTACCATGTTCTGTGTAAGAAATAATTCTTCATCCAGTTGTCCTAAAGTTTTACTGACATGAAGATATAAAGCTGGTGAGTGATGGATGAACTCATTTGCAGGGTGTGGAGCAGAATGGTTGCGTTGGGGGGAAAAGCTAGGTCAAACCAGAAGCTACAGAACAAAAGAGTTTAAGCAAAATACTACTTAAAGTTGTAGAGAACGGGCATGCACCCACAATATTGGTACACGCAGCCAACAGTATATACACGTCCATCATGTATGCACATGACTCACAGCATATACTATGTACACACTTCTGCTTTACTTTACTGTTTACCATGGACACCTTGCCTGTTAAAGGAATCGTTGGTGCGCAACTGGTCTGTGATTTCCAAACTGACTAGCAGCTCTTTCTGCTCTTTAAGGCTTCAAATATGCAGCAAAACTACATGAAATGAATCTATGAATAGGCCAAATAAAGGTCAGTGTTTCTTCTACTGGTAAGGAGTTTTATACATCAAAACAGTCTTCTTTTACATCTTTTTTTGCCAAATCTTGTGGTGTTTCACAAAAAACAAACTATATTTAAGAAGTAGGTTAGTGTTCCTTTTTTAATACAAGTAAAAAAAAAATAAATCACAAGGCAATTTTTTTAAATTATTGTTGTAGTGTCTGGATTGCTGAATGTGAAAGTTGCCAACGGACAATTCTGTTCCACTGCTCCAAATACATTCTGGGAATTGTAATATTGTAACAGATTTCCCAAGAAGCAGGAGCCATGGAGATTGTGTAGTATATAGCCTCCAAAGCCTTTTTTTGTTGGTTTTTTAATTATTTTAAAAATGTGATGTATTATTAGAAGGTTAAAGATGAGCGATATGAACAATAACTAAATGTCTTGATATTTCAATTTAATAATTTAAATTATTTACAGTTTAGTGAAGTTAAGGAAACTGAAGAGATGCATTCCTCAGCTCCAGGTTTCATCTCATAAAGAAACACTACTGGATGGAGTAACATTCCGGCAAAAGTCTGAATGCGTAAGAAGCTCTGTGGGACTATACTGGAAAATCTCAAATGGATCATATAGACCTAAGTCTTTGGTCAGTTGATTCTTTCCCCTGCCATAGAAAAGACTTCTTAAAGACTTCAGTGTAAAGTTGGTGTGTAAATATATGTTTGATAATTGTAAAGCACATACGTACACAGAGACACAGACACACATGCACACTGGAAAATAACCTTCTACTTTTGTTCCCCCTATGTACTATGATTAGTGCAAGAAATCCCAGCCAAGGGCTCTAAGAAATTTAAAACAAAATGGTTAATAACATCAACATTTAAATTGTCCACTTAAAAAAATAAATAACTCAAATGATACTGAACGTGTCTAGTGTGTGTTCATTAGCGTTACGACAGTTACTTCATTGGATAATGTTTGTGAAGTTTTCTTTCCTTTATGACAGACTGCTGAGTTTTGTTTATTTGCTCCAGATCTTCTTCTTCAGTTTACTCACCAATATTCAGCAATTTCAATCTTAAGCAATTACATTTGAGCAACTCAGTAAGATTTAAAGGATGTGTTCCCCTTTAATATCTTTACAAATTCTGAACGCATGTTATTGTTATATTTTTGGGGGAGATGGTTCGTAGCAATTTTAGGAAAGAAGTTATAGATCAAGATCTATAGAAAATATCAGGAAAGAAACTTCCATGGTATCTGCAACATACATAAGAAGCCTGCCTCTGCGTATCATCTTACACAATCAGGTGCTCTGCATGGGTGTCTGTGCTTAGAAATACGTGCCTAGGTATAAGCACATACAAAACTTTTGAATAGTGCCTGAAGTTGGTCTCCTAAACCTGTATTTAAAGACTGAAAAAACCTGAAAAATACGTTCACAGTTTTGTACTACTGAGCTCTGAGCAAGTCTCCAAAATCAATATGAAATTCTGTCTGGCTCATGCTTGTGAAAAATTAGGCTTTAAGAAAAATCTAAGTGTTTTTTTAAAGCGACCATATAAGGTGATTTATCAGCATGTGTCTTATTGATGGTTTTTCATTGAAGCTTTCTTGAAAATTCCATCCATTCAGACTATAACAAGGCTCTTCCACAACACCCTCTAACTGAAATCTTTAAAAGTCTGGATGAACATTAAGAAAAGGTGCAACTCTTGTACAAACAGCATAAACTCATAAAAATCACTTGTTAGAGGATGCTAGATAAATAATATCCCTGGAGTTTAAACAGAATTTGACTTAGAACCCTTCACCCCGTTAATAATTTCTGAGACCAGCTGAAAATATTTAATAGTGCTTAGATAATTTCATTCCTTTGTTTGCTTCTCGGTGTTTCTACAAAACGCATCAAAAAGTCCTAATCGTTCTTACCTTATGCTTAAGAATCCTTCTTTTGACCCATTTGAGGATATCTAAATTCAAGCGAGGATTTTTCTAAGTGACCTGGAGACTTAAGCTAATGATGAGCTGGGACTGCCAAGAGAACAACAATACTCTTGAAGGCAGTGGTTCAAGCAATAATAATTTTTGACCTTGCTAGAGAATGTAACCATAACCAAAAATATTCTCTGAGGCTCAAGTCATGGGTTAAGACTTTCAAAACTCTTCAGTCCAGACATAATCGATAATGGAGAAAAATCATTTTGAATGAGGTATTTTATCGCTGCACTGAAGACACAGGGCCCCTTTAAGCATGCCCTGTCAACTACTACACCTGAAGGACAGAGGCAAAAGAGCCAATGAGGCTGCGCCTTGAAGGTATAAAAGCTTTGTCACACCACACAGGGAGTATTTAGGTCTTACTTGTAATGAGAAGATACCATTGCCTGCTTGTGATACTTGCAGTCAAGCTGCCTGACTTGGTGAGTTTACTAAAAGCTCTATGTGGTAATTGGTAGTATATTCTGCAGAGCTAGTACAGGATCCTCTAAACTTCATTTACCATTAAAGTGCTATGATTTACTTGAGAAATCACACAGTTATTTCTAGTCTAAATTGCTTTCTACAGCCTAATTTCCTATTAGTAGTCAGCTGAATTGTGAAAAAGGTATAAAATGAGTCAGGGCTTCCTTTTCCAATGAATGGACTATTATAGGGCATGCCTCCTTCACCTCTAGCTTTTGTAGTACTGTGGCCATTTCAGACTAGTGAAAGAAGTGACAAGAAAACACCAGCATTCATTAGAGCATAGCTTCAAGGTAAGAAAGCTGGGTAGGAAAACTAAAAACAAAAGTGTAGTCAATTATGAGGAGGGCAAGAGACATCTTATACTAAAAAATAAGTCTTTATTCAACTAAGAAGATCCTTCCAACGTAAGTATTACAGGTAACCTGCAACAGAAGTGGAGAACCTAGGATATTTTAACAAAGGCCTAAGGGTATTTCTAAAGAAAAGGAGTTAGTTCCATTTCTCATTGAATGAAAGCTATCTTGGGAAGGAGAAAAGAAATTGAAGCACTGCCATGTGTTCCTACTTAGCTTAAGAAAAGCAGAGGCATGGGGAGGAATAAAGCAGTAAATAAGTAAATTTAAATGATCCATTCACATAACCATGTTCTCTGAATAGCAATTCCTTGCTATTAACTCTCTCAATTCCTATGATATTTTTGATCTTAGTATTCTGAGTAACTCATGATTACTCTGTTTTCTACCTGAAGAATTCAAGATGTTAAAATAAACTCTGTTTTACACAGAAGTCAAGTAATTCTATTTTCTGATTGTATAAGAAAACTGAGGCACAGGGAAGTTAAGACTAAAAAGTCTGGGCCAAAGACAGGTGCTGAAATGAAATCCCTTGATTCTTAGTTGTCCACCTTGATAAATCATGCAATTAAATTTGCATCTATTTTCTCAGTTCTCAGGTTTATCAGTGATGCAGCGCACTGCCACCTGAAAGAACTGCATTAATACAACTGGGATTTCACTTCACCTGGGCAACAATGACATTCACAGAAGAGGTGTTCCATCTGCTGCAGTAAGAATGCCATCTGTCCTTTTATCATTTGCACTCCATACAGCAAAGCAAGTTTCAAAGGGAAAAAGGTATCCTTAAATGGTCCTTATCCACAGATCCGATTGGTTATGATTTTCTGAGGGTGGAATAGTGGAGACAGTGAGGGTCAGTAAAGCAGGAGAAATAGTATCTCTTGGACTCTTCCCAGATAGAGGTTCTGGCAAGCTTAAAAATCCATTGCCCCATCCAATCCACCTCAATCTTTGTCTAAAAGGATTAATTACCCGTAAAAGACAGGACAGAAAAGGGGTAAGAATTATTAAACTTTTTGAGTATTAACCCTATGCTAGTGAAAGATTTTCTTCCTAGAACTATTTTTGCAGTTGTTATTGGCCAGGTCACTTATTATTGCATAACACCCTTTCACTAACATGGTTAAGTATTGTGTGTCAACTAACTGTTTTCACAAAGATCTAAGGTTTTGCTATTAATTATTCCAATGTTCTTAATTTTCTCCTGCTGCTGGTTCTTCTTCCTCTTCTATCCTCTATTGAATCTATCTATCTATCTATCTTATTTTTGTCTTTCTTTCACCCATTAATTCTTGGCACTAAGTTGTTTTTTCTTCTGGAAATGTTATTCCTCAGTGTTCTCCCAATCTTTGAATTTCCCACTTTTTTTTTTTAATGATCCCCCTGTTCCTGGAGGATGCTAGTATACATCCTTAAATTTAGGAATCAAAAATAGTCTGCAAGTGGATTTGCTTAAAATAACCACATTTTCCTAAATTACTCCTGTTTGGAGAAAGACCAGGTGGCCTGGCATGGAGCTAACTGGAGTCACTGACCACTTCCCAGTTAACAAAAATAACTACACTTCCTGCCAAATGCAGGTACAGCTTATGTTCCCTTTTGTCTAGCGTGGAACATATCGCTTTATCTATCGGCCCTGTACATTACCTCAGCTCTAGGAAACATCAGAAATCTAGCTGTGGAATGGTATATTAGTTGCTGACTTCCTCCAGCTGATACAAGGTACATCCTATCTCATTATCTGCATGTGAGGTGTAGAAGTAAATGCAGAGAGGAAGACAGCTTCTTGGCTAGCTGAAGCAGGCTGAATTACCAGGCAGAAACTATATCTGTATCTGTAATATGTCAAATGAATTATGGCAGGCCTTGTGACTCTTACTACCTATTGGAAAATACTTGCTGTTCTCCCGGATAATTCCCCAAATTGTCTCATAGCAAGGAAAACAGTTTTAGCACCTTTCTGTTTTTCTTGTAAGTAGCCATCTATACGCGAGTTCATTCTACAGTAACGCAGCTCTGCTCTCAAGGAGTTATCTTCCAACCCTTAAATACAGGCATGTATATTTTTATATATATGTTATATTTTTATCGAAACAAAAAGAATACATGGCTCAGAAAAACACCTTTTTCCAAGGGTAATTACTTAGAGATGCTTTCACAGACAACATGCTAGCTCAGCTTCTACACCACTGATCTTATCGACTGTACATACCTAACAGGCTGAGGACTGCAGGTTCTTTCTATTCCTCTCCCCCCGCCCCCCAAACTGTCAAAGCGCACGGTATGAAAATCTGGTCTGTAGCAAGCTATGCAAGACTCATTTAATCTGGTCAAGGACTTCTACCCTGAACAAATCTGGGAGGCTTTTAATAGCACAAACATTGACAGAGGAAATGGTCAAAATCTGGCGCCATTTCATAGCTGAAGAAATTAAGCTTTGGAAGAGAATTTCACCTAGAAAGGTATGACTCAAGCAAGCTATAAAGAGACTGCTAGACACATCATGCTCTCTGAGAGATTTGGTTACAGGATCAGAAGATAAAGATTAAATTCTGCTTGCTTCACAGATGTAAACAGTTCCTCTACATTAATTTTTAATTTCTTATAAATAGAAGAGAGAGGGGGAAAAGTTGGCCTATGTGCATACACTGATACATGATCACTGCAAATATATTAGGATTACACTAAGTGTTGAGAATTAATGAACGGAAAAAAATTATTCAAAACAGACATAAATATCAGGTTTCTAATGAAGTAATTCTCCTTACTTACATGTAAAAAGAAACTACAGTGAAGGCACTGATGCACAGAACTTACCAAATAACTAATTTTACAATTATTTAAATGCCCTCTTTTCATACCACTAATTACCCTTCTCTGCTTTTTGGAGACAAAACTCCAGAACCATTCCCTGAAACAAGTCTCAGTTTGGAAAACCTGATTCTCGTCTGCCACCAGTACCTGAAGTGGGAGAGGTAAAATGAAGAAACTAGTATCAGTCTTGGCTCAAGAGAAGCCTCACTGAAAAGCAGCTACCACTCAGAGAATTGTAGCCTTTCTTCTAAATGTAGGCAACTTTCACTAAGTCGGGACTGTAACACGATGTGGAAGCTGCTCTTTGTCTGGCAGAGGCTCCTGCTCACTTCAGAGCTGCTGTGAATCTTTTGCCTTCAATCAAAGGCAAGGTTTTCAGGAGAGGAGACACCGCTGCAGCTGGCTCTCAGCTTTTGCAGAGTTCTCAGCTCAGCAGGGGTTGGATTATCCCTCCACTCCAGGAGGCAACTTGATTTCTCCTTGTATAGCACAATCTCACACTTCCTGATTATCACCAAACTGGTTTTACACTTGTGACAGTTCCCATCAATCAGCGGCTCCTGACCCAAGATGATATATTCAGCTGCCTACAGGGACAAGGATGGAACAGTGGGAGGAGACCTGAGCGGCAGTATGGTGTACCATTACATATCCTCTAGTTTGGGCAAGGTATTTTGATTTATGTGGAATTCTTAATAAGCAACGTTTTATATTTTGGCACCACCAAGAGCTAGTGTTGCTTCCTCTTACATTAAGTCTCTAATAGAAATGACGGTTCTAATAAAATGCTTTCTATATAACCCTTGGGTTTAGTCCCTGCTTTTTAGAAAGCGTCTAACTGCAAACAATGAAAAAAAAAAAAAAAAGCCCTCACTTCCTCTCAGGGCCACATGGATAGCTTTTTTTCTTTAAAAATTGGTTTTTTCCCCCTTAGAACTTTTATTCATCTTCCAGTGAATGTTTTCCGCTTACGTAGCTAAACTTCCAGCCTACTTAGTAAATGCTTTGAGTTTTGGGAGGTAGAACCTAAAAGCAGGCAGGTGTTTACATGTAACATTAGTTGTAGTTTACATCTGTAAGTCTCAAATTGATATCTAAAATGGTATGTACAGCAGCCACCAAACCCTGAGGCAGTTTCCCTGTTTAAACTGAAAGCTTTCCAGTCAACTTAGGTTGTGCATCATGCACACATCTGAAAACTCCACCAGCAAAAGGAGACAAGGGGTAAGCTCCTGTGTTAGCCTATTAGAGATACAGGCACATCCGAAGGTTAGAGTTAATAACGAAGTTCAGTGCAGCAGGGACTGAACAGCAAGGCTTATTACTGAATTATGCAGTTCCACAAGGGCTAAAAAGGCAGCCTTAGCCAGTGTGGATGAAGAGTTAATGATTAATAATGATCTGCAAAAATCTGGCAACATTTATTTACTTCTGTGAAGTTTTCTTCTCCCGTAAGTTTCTGTTACAATCCACACAGTCACAGGATGGTATCTGTCGGTCTACTCAGCTAAGGGAAAGAATTCTTTAAAGGGAGTCAGACAAGTCAAAATTTACTCAAGCTAAGTCCCTGCCTCATTTAATTCAAAAATCTGTAAAACAGCTAGTGAAATTAAATTAAGAGAAAATCTGGTTCCCTATAGTGATGTTCACAAAGTTGTATAGGCTACCATATTAATATCCCTCATAGGGATTCAATTATTTAGGACTTTAAAAAGGGTTGCATGCCTGTAAAAATACATCTTTTTGTTTTTAGAAGTCATGTACACTCACTTAGCAAGGCTTGAAGCATTCAATTCTTTTTTAAGCACCAGTAATGTAACAGAATTCCTCAGACAAGATACTTTCCTGTGTATTTAAATAGTATGGCTTTTTAATTGATAATTTCTATCTACTGAAATTTTAAGTTTGAAATTATAATTTCCATCAATTGGAAGAGTAAAGTTTAAGACTAATGGTCAGATTAGAGAACTATTGGAATTATAATCATAGAATCTGGAAATAAAAGTAACAAATCAGCAGAAATTCCCTTAGTGTATAAAAGATTTAGAAAACTATAAAGATACATAATAAATATAAAGAAAGCAGGTAAAAGGTACAACGACCTATTCTTCTGGTAAGTCAAAGACACATTCTCAGCTTGGATTCCTCTATTTAGACTGAAGTGTTTAAAAGCCCGACTCCGATGTAATCAACCCAGCTTCTGTTTATCTCACTGGAGATAAATGGACATCACCAGAGCAGAACTCATCTCGTCCTAAACTAAGCACCTATGATAGGTCAGAATTTCTGCCCCCGGAGATTCTGATTTTTCTCCTGCTATACAGGGACTGTAGGATGAATTCTGAATTTGACATCTGAAGTTAGCTGTAATTTATCACATTTTTAACTTTGTATCTTAGCAAATCCATCTAACAATTTTACCTAAGGGCAAACAGTATTTGAATAAAATATCAGAAAAATCAAACCTCTTCATTGTTCCTTTCATCACCCCCCAGTTTGTTTGGTTTTGGTTTTGTGTTTTTTTTTTTTTTTTAAATTCCCCACCTGAAAGCAATGTCAAAGCATAATTTAAGAAACAGTGCCTATAAGCCTGAGGTCAAAGACACATTAATAGCTAATCCAGGGAATCCACAGTGCAATGGATGGTGCCATTACTTGCTCATTTTTCTTCTCTTACACCGGTGCTTGCAAGGAGCGGGGAAGGCATAAAGCAAATTTCACAAGATTTGTACCTCCTAGCACCAGAAAAACTTTCCACAAACCCTGTGTGCTGTGGAATTAGTTCACCCTGATGAACAGCTGATCATCATTTTAAACAGAAGAAAAGCAAGTGAATTTTTGATGCAGGATTCTGAAATACAAATTGAAGCGTGCAGTCCGTACAACCTCTGTCTTGGGCAGGTAGCCTTAATTTGCAGAAGACCTAAGAAAATTAACAGATCTAGCAGCATCAGCCCCCCAGTACATAGACAGGGCTATTCACAGATGTATTATGTTAATATGGGGCATTTCACTTGTTATCGATGTAAAGCATTTTCTATATTTTGGCTAGATAGTCTCACTATTATTACACAATTGGCCAATTTTTAGAAGTGTAAAAACAGCTCTAGAAAACATAGTTATCTCCACCAATAGATGACAGTCATAACTTTTAAAGTTTTCTGATAGAACCCAAAGAATAAATTCTCATAGGAAAACTAACTGAAGAAAATTAAGATGAGCAACAATAGAAAATATACTGGTTTTAGATATGATTTTCAAGGAAAATGGAATAAAATAAATCTGGAAGATATTACATAGGGAATCAGGTAAATCCACCTACCTGCTTTGCCTATCTGCATACTTAGCTACTGAAAAAATCCCTACCTTCAGGTAATTTTGCCATCATTTCAAAAATCTGATGTGTGTTCTTCCGACAGATATCTACTGGATCATCCAAGAGCTCAGTGAGGGCAGAAATTACTCCGTTTTGGATCAACCCTTGTCTACAAACAACATTGGAGGACAGATTTAACTAAGCATAATAAAACTTAATATATATTTGTGAGATGCCTAATCTTAACTAAATACTCTTATTTACATTGCACCTATCTTGCCAAAACTTAGAAATTCTGTTCTTATTTCTCACTGAAACATCTTTATTGCTTCCCATACCATTCAGTAAACTCTGGAATTACACCCACCTGCCAACATTATGCATAGCCATTATATAGAGAATTTGTGTTGTTTTTTGTCGGACAGCACTGTCATGATGTAGCAGCAAAGTCTTCAGGTTATCCAAGAATCCTAAGAGACATAACAGTTCATTTTAACATTTCTTACCTTCAACAATAATTTAAAATAGAAATACTCATTTTTATCTCACAATTTGAAGTGCAAACAATCAGAAATTTCATCGTGTCCAGATGGTGAAACTCTCATTGTCATATGTCAAGTTTCAAGGCCTACTGCCAAAAATGCCATGCTACAAACAAGCTGCTGACTTCTGTGTCAAGTTAAATCCTAATCCTGCAAATATTTATGAAGTGATACAACTCTAAGTCAGCGGAGCTATCGATGCTTTTAGAAAAGCAGGTGTTTGCAGGATTGATGCCTACATTTTTTTAAACTAACTTTAGGTGTAGCATGGGCCATATAAAAACACACAGCGTTGCTTTTCACGTGTAGAAATACATTTGATGAACCATTAATAATTATGCGTATACACACATAGCAGTGACCAAAAAAAAAAAACCCAAACAACAATCTCACAGTGCTTGAGCAGTTACTGTTCATCAAACAATAACTTAAAATATTTTGAACATGATTATTGGTATCTCTGATGAGGTAATAAGAAATATCAATAATAACCAAATAATATCAATAAATATGAAGGAGGTAAATGGAGAAAAAAGTAGTGGCAAACTGGAGGACTTCTTCAGTGTTACATAATGAGCTATGTAAATACACAACAAACTGCTAAAAATTGTGAAGATAAGCTCCTGTGTTTTTTTTTTTTCCAAAATCCAAACTTTGGATTCTTCCAAGTGCTGGGATAAAAGCTTTTGAAAATAGCGGTGGCCAGATACAATCCTGATGAGTATGATAAATCTGGTTATATTGTCTTGTATCTTAAGTTCTCATGAAGTTCCAGGCTTTTTTTGTTACAGACTCATTCTACAATCACTAAGACACTTCTGAGAAGGGGTTCTGCATAAAAAGCTCTGATGTTTTGTTTCTCCAGTAAAGTTATATCTGGATGTGCCATGCTATCCACTGCTGAAAGAATCAATGGCAAAAGATGACTTCACAGATTTTGCAAATGAACTTGTAAACCTTATTTAAATATTATATTATTAATTAAAAGGTTCATGAGAGGTTTTTGCCTGGTTTTATTATTGGATCTGAGATATGAGTATTTTGAGCACCCCAAGCATTAAAAATCCAGGAAGGTAACACTGTCTTATGTCATACATGGTAGAAAACATCTAATGAAGGAAAAAAAAAAGGGGGATTTGCCTTTTCTTCCTGCTCTAGAATAACTAAAAGCTTTTTCTTTCCCCCTTCCTAAATAAAATATATTTAGTAGTTTTATGTTACTAGAAATTAGTAAATTCGCTGCTTTGTTTTTTCCTGAAAGGTTCTTGGGTAACAGGATTAGAGAAGATTCCAGGCAAGTGAAATTTAAATAAGTGGCAAGGAGGTCGTGGGGGTGTGTCTCTAACTTTGGACTAATTAAACTTTTTTTTTTTTCATTAGGCTATGTTAGGAATTAGCTAAAATTCAGAACAAATGAAAGAAAAAAAAGATCCTGCACTACTTTTGTGTTTAGGTGTTGATAAAACCTATAGTGAGCCACTGATAAATCCTAAAGTGAGGATCCTCTTAAAATAACTGTCATGTATATGGCATTATAATATTCTTTACCTGTTTAAGGTAAAACAGTAGAGATTAAAAAAAAAAAATCTTCATTTTATGTCATCAAAGATACTGCAAGGAAAAAAGTAGCACACAGAAGTAAAGTGGGGTTTTCCCCACACACACACACTGTGTCAAAACGTATTGCAACAGATCACTTACCTACTTCTATTGCCTGGTAGATGTTTTCTGGGTCGTGGACCAGATCGCAGAGCGCCATCAGTGCCCGTTGCTGAGTCAGCAGCTCAGGACACTGCAACTCCTCATTCAGTTTGGGAAGGGCCCTCTTTCCAAACGCAATAGGGGCTTTTGTGGGATCTATATCAGGGGGGAGGTTGGCTGAGATACGAGCATGCGCCATCCCAAGTTTCCCTGGGAAGGATTCTCCGTTATCCCTAAAAATACTCCAAAATGATGGTACCTGGTGACTGGAGGGGTAATGTACCACAAAGACAACTACTGACTTTAAACAGTGCTCTGTGTCCCAGAAGAGCTATTTTATCACACGTTCATCGTTAGGATGGTATGAAAGAAGAGGCTGGAATGGTTCATGGTCATCAGCATTTATGTCTCTTCATCAGCTGAATTGTCTTATCTGGTTTAATTCTCTACTGAACACTGTAAAAAAAAAAAAAAAAAAAAGGAAAGGGAAAGCTTAAAATTGTAAGGTGAGAGAGTGAATGTTTTTCAAAGCGTTAAAGTGAAGTAGTCCAACGTCCTGAACCAAAGAAGGGGCTCAAAGTAATATTAAAGCAAAAGCAACCCAAAAGCCATTTTTCAAAAAAAGCATTCTTTTAAAAGGGATCTAGTTTAAACCTGCCCTCAGAATTCGTTAACGTTTGAAAGAATCGGTGATGGCTGCCCTCCCCCTTCCCTCAGTGAGGAAAACGGCTCGGCTGACTGAAGCATACAGCCTCCAATATGGAAAACCGCGCAACAAAAAAACCAGCCGCAAAGTTAAACCCACTGCTAAACAACTGCACTTCTCTCTTCAAAACAAAAGACTGAGACTAAATAACCAAAGGCGCCCTGTCCCACCGATGTGTCGCCGCCTCAGCCCGTCCCCGCTTCCCGCTCCACAGCGCCTGCCAGCTACGCCACCGCCTTTCGCGCCCGCGTGCTCTGGTTGTCGCAGCAACCGGCTCTTTGCGTACGCCCCGCTCCGTGAATAAAAACTACGCAGCCAGGCATCCTGAGTCCGGCCCTGCGTCAACAGCGTAAGTACCGCGTTTGACGGTGGCTGCTGTGAGGGAGCAGCGCCAAGGGCGTAGTTGGCGAATTGGAAGGCGGGGCCGGCGCTTGCGCGGGAGTCGGACGCCA